CTCTGCAACCACTTCTGAGGGGACTAGAAACGCTTACTTACCAGTGTTACCAAAAGAAATAAATTTCCACCAAAACTCAGCCCTTTGCAGTAGGTCTCCCATTCAATAATCTAGATGTAATTAAATTTTACCAGCTCAACTCGGACTTGATGCATATGTAAGAAAGCCATGTCTTCATGAATGGCACTTGAAAATACATTTCTCCTTGTTATTTTTCATGTTAGTCCTATGTTTATACCCAATATGCTTTCAGTAAGCAGGCTGTGACCCCAGCAGCACTCCCTGAACTCTCTTCAGCACAGTGGTTGGGGGGTTTAAATGGTGGGGGGGGTCAAAGAGTGTCAGACCAGAAAGAGGGACAGAGAGCAGAGATGCCACTGGGCATACCTACATGAGATATTATGTCACTGTAGCATCAGTGGGCATGAACCATGATGCTAGTGCTACTGCACAGTAGTGATGTGCTACTGTGAGTGAGGTAGCAATAAGCTACTACATAGTATCCGATTACTACTGTGCAGTAGGGTTGGAAATGACCTGTGTACTGCCGGGATTGCACAGTAATGGTTATTACCATTAGTCCAGCTAAATGACTGCACAGTAACAACTGCAGTCAGGCACACATGTAGACATGTCCAGTGTCTAGGGCCCAAGTCCAAAGCCCATTTAAGTCAGTGGAAAAATGTCTGTTGACTTGAATGTGCTGTGGCTCAGACCCACAAACCAGGAGTCAGCAACCTTTATGAGTGGTGGGACACTCCTTGTAATCCGGCCACTGCTATGAGCTACTGATCTCCTGTGCAGTGCCCTAGACCTCCCTGCTCTGTGCCAAGGCTGCTGTCATGTACCCTACTCCAGCCTCCACTTGGGGTGAATGGTGGCAACTCCTACTTTTCATCACTAATTGTGATGGGTAGCTCTGAATTCAGCAGCAAGAGTAAGATTAGGTTGCAGTAGTGGAATGAGAGAACAGTATGTGGCACAGAGCTGGGCACATAGCCTGAGGCAGCCACCTGCTAAACACTGTCCAGGGCACACTGGGCAGGGTATGTAGCAAAGAAATGTAGGAGACGGGATAGAAAATTTTTCCCTGCTGCTGTATGCTGCTGATTCCCCACAGTCATGGGTCAAATCCAATCTTTTCATGGGCCTGCAGGCCATGCATTCCCAACCCTTGCTGTAGATAACTCATATAATATAGTAGTATAAAATGAATTATTTTCCTTAAATCCCATTAGTAAGAACTCTTCATTTCTTGATAAAGAGAGTATGATTAATTTTCTCCAAAGAGAACAGAGAATTCAAACTTATACCTACTATAACTATTGTAAGTGAATGTCTGCACTATTCTCCCATACAGCTATGCTAACATTAAGATGATATTTAAATAGCTTGTGATTGGCTAGAGATGATCTCAAAACCCCTCACTGAACATTTGGTAAGAAAATGCTTTCTATCTGTGAAGATTGTTGCTATTACTCATTCTCTCTTCAAACGCCTGTACCAAACTGCGACATTTGCTAGTTGGTCTGGGTCACACTGGAAAAACAACCAGTACAATGAACCACAAACATGATAGAGTTCTTTCTCCCTTAAAATAAGTGGATCATTTCCCATGAAGAGTGGTTATTCTTATCTGAATATACTTGCTTCATTTTAAAAGCTTATCTGCAACTGAACTCAAAACAACCTTGGAGGGAGGAAGGAAAGAAAATAACAACGGTTGAAACTTTGTTATCCAGCCTGGTTCAGCCCTGCCCAGAGTGAAATGGGATAACAGTATAGCATGGCTGACAGAATTACAAGAAACTGTCACCCTGATCCAGAACATGTATGTGTTAAAAAATAAAACTTAGGTACAAGCCAAGTGCCTGAATCCAAGTGAAGGGTTTACAAAAAATACCTACAGCTTGGGTGTCTGAGATGCTGTAGCTATCTATGTGGCTTCAGTGGTGTAAACTTCTGCTACTGCACATGCCCAGAAGCACTGTCAGGATGGCTGAAATGAGCTTCTTGGTACCTGTCTGACATTTTAAGCTGTTTGGCCTTCACAAAAAAAGGTGTGCCCCTATCTAAGGCTTAGGAGAGGCCAGGTCCAATACACATGTTCTGAGCATGTTTCACACAATGGCATTGAGTTCAGTTCAAATCTCACTAATGAGGGCTCATTCAAAAACACATTCCTGGGAAGTGATGTAACTGCCCATCTCTTATACAATAGCCTGAAGATCGTAACCAGGGATAAAATGAGATTAAACAAGTGGAAATGTGATCATGTAGCTCACTGATCAAAGTCACTTATTTGGATCTGGGACTTCTTGTTTCCAGTCCCTGATCCACGACTGTTCTTATGTTTTACCAATACTGGGTGCATCTACACATTCATTAATGCACTTTAGGTAATGCACATTAAATCTAGTACCTCTGGGCTCATCCAGAGATGTGCTTTAATGCTCAGTAGACTATTTTACTGTGCATTAAAGTATCACAGGAAAAAAAAGTTACATTATGCGAATGCACAGTAAAATAGTCTGTTGCACATTGTCACTAAAAAGCATACAAATGCATTACTACACGTTAGCGCAGCCTCTTGTGCATTAATTTAGTACCCCTCATTGGAGGGCTGCTACACAAGTGCAGGGAGCCTGCTTTGACATGCTGGAAATCCAGTGCATTGGAGCAGGCTCGATTAATTGAGTCTGCTGGAACATGGAAATGAATGCGCTCCACCAGACTCTAGCATCACATGTATCAGCATCTTTCCACTAAAAAATGGTGGTGGGGCGTTTTGAACTAAAGCTCATTAAATGAGCATTAAATAAGCTTCAGTTCAAAGCACCCCACCACCATTTTTCAGTGTGGAGACACATACACATGAAACTCAGGCACTTTTAATTAGCATGGCTTGCTAATTAAAGTGCCTCCCCACACCTACTAGAGCATGTGTAAAAATGCCCAGAGGTACCAAATTTAATGCACATGAGAAAAGATGCATTAATGCATGTGTAGACACACCCTCTATTGTGAAGTACTAGAAAAATGTGCATTGACCTATTTTAATGCACATTAGCTAAAGAGCATTTTTTTTGTGACCCTTTAATGCACTTTAAAATAGGCTAATGTGCATTAAAGCACACATGTAGCTGTAATCACTGTATAATCATAATGAGATTAGAAGCCAGAATTCAGATAACCTCTCTCTTAGTGGAGAGGGCTTGTATCATCAGGCTACCTCTTCTGCGCGCTCTCTCTCTCTCTCTGCTCCTATGCATCATGCATGCCTTTCTGCTCAGTGACATTACTTCAAACTGGCCAACAGCCTGATGGTTAGAGCACCAACTGGGAGGTGAAAGTTTCAACCTGCATCTGAGGAGGTTACTACAGCTGGGTCTACCACTTCCTGCATGCGTATTTTAAATTCCTAAGCTATCTCATAAAATGTGGAATAAACAGTTAGAGGTTTAAAATTGTATAAATATAAATAATTATAAATATAAATATCTGTAAGTAAGACGAGAAAAAATGCAAGTGTGGAAAACTAGTTATAGCTGGTATGTCTTTTTTTACCCAGATAGGGGAAAGTGTATACCTTGGGCAATAAAACTGCAAATTTTCTACATAACGAACAATCTGATTACAAAACAAGAAAATTATGTCCCCTCCTACAGCTTTAATAAAGACATAAAAACAAAATAAGCAAACATAGTCAGAGGGGTTTTAGGAGAGTTAACAAAGTAAACGTCAATCCCGTTGCTGAATTAATTAAAATGTATATCCTTCCTGGAAGCAATTAAATTATACCCACATAGCCTGAATAACACTTATTGTAGTAGGAGCTGCTTTAGCATTGCCATATTTCTTCTGCTACTCAAAGTAAGGAGGCTGGGTATAATGAGTAACAACATTGATCAGCTGGTGATAAATTAGTTTGTCAGTAAGTTGCAATCATTCTGTTTTGGCAAGAGAAGGAAAAGACAAAGAAACACAATGAAGACACTTTTCTCAGCTAACTAGTAAGTATCCTCACCCTGCCCAGTTCCTGCATACAAAACTGCATGTGTTCTATATTGATTTACACTGGGCAGTCCCACTATTGATGTGGTGGTATATTTCCACTGGGCTAACTCATCATCAACAATATGCCACCTTGACTATTAATATGTTTCTTAAACTTTATTAAATGTTTAACTTGCATATACTGCCTTTAACTTAGCAAACACTGGTAAACCTAACTTATTCTTAAAGTGATACGTGCATTTGCAATCGAAAGGATCAGAATAGGAACACATTGATTTTTGCGCGCACATTTTTCATTCTTTTTACTGAGTTTATTTAAGCTCTTTTGGACCTCTCATAGGTTAATATTTTTAATTTCTTTTATTAAAAGAACAAACTCAGTAAATTTTCCTAGAATTCTAAGACTCAGAAGATTATCCCCAAACTTTAGGATATAATTTAAAATTTTAAATCATGGAATATAAATCATCTGGCAAAAACCTAGTTTTAAATTAAATGCTTAGGCTTTTAAGATTAGAAACAAATCTGAGTCAGCCATGGATGGGGGTTAACATTAATTTTGCACTCAACCATTTCCTTGGTAGTAGCCGTTGAAGTTGGTAGGTAGCTCAGTGGTTAGCAAGTTCTTAATATTACTGAAGAAGACATGAGTTCCTTTCCTTCGAGTGGGGGTAGACACTTCTTCCTGATTATAGTAGTGGCAAACAGCCTTAGATAGGGATTACATATAGGTGACCATCAGCCCTAATGAACCAACCCCTATTCTATAAATGTTCATGGGAGTTCGGATCTGTGAATTTGTCTTATTGCAGCTTAAAAGGAATGGGTTTAAATTCTGAACCAGATGTATTTCAGATCATCGTGAAATTCGGGAGGTTTAAACATGGAGTCTGAAGTTGGCCACATGATATATAGCTTGTAATGTGCGTTTGCCTAGAAAGCACTGAATTCCAATCTTCTGTCTATCTTTGTGTTTCCCATAGGTTACCAAGATGCTGGCCGTAGTTGTAATACTCTTTGCCTTGTTATGGATGCCATATCGGACATTGGTTGTTGTAAACTCCTTTCTCTCCAAGCCTTTCCAAGAAAATTGGTTCCTGTTATTTTGTAGAATCTGCATTTATCTAAATAGTGCCATCAATCCTGTGATTTACAATCTCATGTCCCAGAAATTCAGAGCAGCCTTCAGGAAACTCTGCAACTGCCAGAAGAAACAGTCAGAGAAACCTGCTAATTACAGTGTGGCTCTAAACTATAATGCCATAAAGGAGTCTGAGCACTTCAGCACTGAACTAGAAGACATTACCATCACCAACACCTACCTGTCTTCTGCAAAAATGTCCTTTGATGATACATGTTTGTCTTCTGAGGTAACATTTAGCAACACTTAATATGCTATTCTATTAATACTAACCAATATGTTGTGTGCATATACAAGGAACCAGACCACAAAAAAAAATAAAAATAAAAATCAAAGCTAGATCCTCATCTGGTACAAATCAATACAACTCCTTTACTTTAGCAGTGCTAACGTGATGTACACCAGATGAAAATCTAGGCCCTTGAAACTCCTGGGAAAATGTACAAGGAGAGCTGCAAATATATTTTACTTGAAAACAGGAGGAAAAATAGAATGTTTTCTTAGACTCTTAGCAGAAGGATTGTTTACCTTTAAAAATATTCTGATTTTTTTTGGCAGACTTGAAATACAATTTTTAATGAAAATTTAACATACACACATATTCTTGTAGTCCAAAATTCCCACCATTGTTCGATTTTGAATATACCGCTAATGGCTGTTTTCTAAATTGTACTCACATATTCACGACTAATTGCAGTCATTTTGCACATTGGACAACTCCATTCTCAAATACCATGAAATGTTCTAATTTTGTTACAGAAAAACTAATTTTATGCTTATTTGAAAAAAACTGCCATTTTTCAAAAAGCAGCTTTATTTCAATTTAACTTCACGTAAAAGTAAATTATGTGGAGGAAAAAAAAATAAATAAATGCAAGCAAGAGCCTGAACCTTCAAGCTCAATGGTTGGACCATTCATATGTGAGGTGGAAGAATCAGGTACAAGTCCATGCTTGTGTAGGTCTCAGACATGAGTTCAGTGCCAAAAAACTTGGTATTATCAAGGTTTAGCTGGCTCTGTGCATGACCAGGGGCAGAAACATAAGTATCAGGGGGCTTTTGTTGGCAGAAACTTAGATGCTCATAAGGTCACGCAAGGATTCTTTAGATTTTGGACTTGGGAACCTAAAGTCACAGTTAGGCACCCAGGTCCTCCTCGTGACTCTAGCTCCTTCTGCCATCACACCATTGGCAGCTGTCCAGTATTAATAAAAATGTCCAAAATCAATTTGCATAAATACATGAAATGGTAAGGAGTTACATTTTCCTAAATGTTTAAAAGTTGGGGGTGGGCCTGCAAGGGTTTGGACTAGATGACCTTCTCAGGTACCTTCCAACCCTAATTTTCTATGATTCTATGGTCCATTTTGCTGTATATTCAAAACGCAGAATACATGAGGGAGTTGGAATCAAATCAACTTCTCCTCACCCAAATCAATGGGAGCAATGATACCCAGGACAGCAGCCCCCAAGCCTTCAACTTATTACTTGTGAATTCTTCACAGAAAATCACATCAAAGTTTTTTTTTCTAAAGACAGTATGCATTGGGCTTGCTTCTCCTGAATCATGAATAATGCAACATAACTTTGTTAACTAATGTACTTTTTCAGTTTTGGGGCTGGAATGTGTTTGCCACCATTCCCCTATGGACATATATGTTGTGGCTCCTTGGTACACTGACTGCTCATGTGGCTCCTGACTCGCCAGCATTGAGTATCACTTGTTAGAATGAAATTCATCTCCCTCCTGGTAAGCTCAGCTACTGACCCCCCTCAGTATGCATGGCTGTAAAAAAAGCCAGAGAGATTCAAGGTGCTCAACACATAACAAAAGGTACTTGGTACCCTTCCAGAATCAGCTTTGTGTGGAAGCTGAAGATCATGAAATCACTCCAACGTGGAGGCAGAGGATGGGCAGCTGCGGCTAGAATACAGGAACTGAACAGAAACATAGCAGCTTGTACACGCAGTGGGGGTTTAATTCTCCCTAAATTGAAATAGTGGGTTTTCTAAAAGACCGCTTCAATATAGGGAGAACTAAGCTAAACTAAACCCTCATGGCATGTACACAAAGGTGGGGGCCCAATTCCTACCTGCCTCTTGGGGGGAGGAGAAGGTAAGCTGCCAGCGGGCCAAGTGGTCCCTGAGCTGCATGGGGGCTTCCAGGTGACACCAGCCTGCTGTCGCCCAGCTCGGGCATCCCAGGGGAAGTGGTTGTACAGCCGCAGAGGAAAGCACCAGCCCCCATTCGGCCATGGAAGGAAGCACTGGGCCCCAGGGCAGCTCAGGCAGGCAGGCAGGCTCTGGGGAGAAAAGGAAAGGAAAGAAAAGAAAAGAAAAAGATCAATCTTGCTGCTTTTTTTTCCTCTTCAGTGGAGCCTGTCTGCATGGGCTGCTGCCGGGTCCCACAGCCCCTGAACTGCTTGGGGCCTGCCAACCCCCAGCACATCGGCTTCCAGCGCCCCGTGCACTGTTGCACTTCGTTAAGTAGCAAACTAAATATCTTGCTACGTATCAAAGTCATTTAAAGTGGAATACGCTGACGAATGTGCAAACAGCAATGCCTTTAAAGCGGAATACACCATCAAACTTGCAAGCAGCAAAGCCATTAAAGCGATGCAAAAGGGCATTTAAGCTGCTTTAAAGACCATTTTTGTGGTGTGTAGAAAGGCCCAGACACTGCACACCCCTCTCCACACACTTTTGTATCAGCAACATTGTTCCCACTATACTGTGAACTAAGCAGCTCCTCAGTTATGTCCTACAACTCCCATCCCTAGAGGGTGTTGTAGAGTCAGCATGAATCGCACTCGTTCTTTCCACACATGCAGCATTGACATGTTTCTGTGGATAACCAGCACCATTTGTTCTTAAAATAGTACCATGCTTGCTTACAACACCAGTAGGGCTTAACTTGGTCTACAACAGTATTTCAGATGACCCACAGAGTAGCTAATTTTTTCCATTTCCCTTTACAGGTGATATGAGAATGAAGGAAGCTGTACTCACAGCTTCCTTCAAAAGTACTCACAGACTCAGAAGTCCACTCAGACTCCAGGAGAGACCACGTATCTCTGCACAATATCTGCTCGTTTGCAGCAAAAGTAGGTTCCTGGGGAGGAAGAAAAAAATATTAAGGATCTGATTCCATAAAAAAGCATCTGAGTTGGACTTCACACATGCTTGATATTATATATGTGCCAAATTGTATCACAGGTTCTCACTTTCTCTTTTAAAAGAACAAGCCTCCCTTTCAGCTACACCTGCAGTCTTTACTTGATTTCACAGAGCCAGAGTTCAATGGAAGTTTTGCCTAACCTAAGACTACTAGATTGGGCCCTATTTGTGTTAAACTATATAATACAGGAAAGAGTGTGCAAATATGATGCCTTTGCCAGTGAAATCAAACTGAACCTGGTAACACTGCAATAGAACAGGCTTATCTAACCAGGATATTTCTTAAACTGCAGAGTGCCTGCTCAAACCTCAGTACAATGGATGCCTCTTGTGACGTGCTGGAATGAGGGTATTCATCATTTTACTTGCAGTGCTCAGTACTTCAGAGGGAAGAAAACTGTATTACCCTATCATTGATAGACAATGTAATTATGGTATTTTTGCAGAACAATTTGGGTTAAGGGTTAGAGAACAGCAAGAACTCTACTGCTGGTTCCAGTAATTATCTAGCTTATCCTCCCTCCTTCCAGACTAGCACACATTTAATGGTACACATCATAACACACTTTAATGACTAGATACCTGATGGTCAAAAGCATGAAATCCATTTTCTGACTCTTCATAGCATGAAATAGGAAAACATGCAATTGGTTCACAGCAGGGAATAAACAAGTGAAAAACTCGGTAGGAAGCTTTGCAAAAAATTTTAACCAGAAAGTATAAAGACATTCTGCTTAGAATACATCTCTTCTCATACTAAATCTATCTGGACTTGCCATGTACAGAAGAGTATTGGAAAAGACTTATATATTTTGCTAGTTTATCTAGGCTAAGTAAATAATTCACAGACTGAATTAGGTTAAGTACTGTCTCAACAGAAACTCTGGATTCTTATTCCATTACCTGGACTAGCTTTTATGTCCCTCCGCGCGGTGGGGTAACTCAGTGTTTCTCAACCTTGATAGACTCAAGGCGCCCCTTGCTAGATTTATGGCAACCCTCAGAAAATGCCAGCTCTTTCTTTACTCTGCCTTTTTGACTACAGAAAAATAACACAGCAACTCTTCTGTTGCAAAGAGCTCAGAAAGACCACAACATGGGTCAGAATGTTTTTAACACTATGAATTCCTACTTGAAAACTTTGGGTTTATCTTGTGAATTAGGTTTGCATGTCTAACAGAGCTCACATTGCATGGGACACCGTGGAATCCTTGAAAGGATCCCAAGGCACCCCAGGGTGCCACAGCACCCTGGCTGAGTGAGAATCGCAGGGTTAACTGCTTTGTTTATCCCTTTTGATTTCTTTGACCCACAATCAGCATTGTCAGCAGTCCCTCTTCCTCTATCCATTCCTCTCCATTTTCTATCCTTTCTATTTAAATTACTGTTTTCCTTCCTATTTAAGAATTGCTGTAGTATTTTACTGTAGTAAAAAAAAAGAAGTAAAAACTAAGATCTGTCAGGTTTCAAAGAGTGCTTTGAGTCTAACAAGGGGTACACCTTGGGTCTAACAAGGTTGAGAACCACTGCTCTAAGGTGCCACCCTACTCTGCCTTCAACTCAACAGAAATTGTTTCTCAGATAAAGAGATTTATGTTTTAATATAGATAATGCCTAGAGCTGATTGGAGAAAGGGGGAAAGCCTAATGAGAAAAATGCCAGTTGTTTTCATTATTTTCTCAATGTTCTCTTTAGGCTTTCCAAAAATTCAAGGTTTAAAAATATTTCCTAAAAATTGACTAGCTCTAAATTTGTCTGAAAAAGAGGAATTTTAATTTAAATCTCACTATTTTTTTTAATTCTGAAAATTCAGTGAAAATCCAGGGAACATTGACCAGTTCTAATACTATGTTTTGAAAATCTGAAACCAAAACCATAAGTTTGATATGGGAGTGTAGCACAGCATATGACCCAGCACAAACCTAGACTAGTCCTTGCCCATTTTTTTACCGTTGTCATAGATGCTCAGGAGGATGGAATGATGCCAGTGTATTCCTGGTTGCACTTCTGAGAAGAAACACTCAAAATTTAACATAAAGTAAAACATGCATCACAAGCAAAACTAAGGAAGTTATTCTCCCACTCTACTCAGCATTGGTGAGGCTGCAGCTAGAGTGCTGTACCCA